ATATATGGAATATGGTCTTGTTTCTATACTGCGAGGTCGGGCTGTCTGTTAAGTAGTGAACAAACTTCAAGTTTGGAAGGACTGCTTTTATCTCTGGAATCAGGTTTCGCAGTATTGCATACACAGTTCCACTATTATGGCCCATCTCATCAGAAATAAAAACAGTGCTTTTGTGGCAGAGAACGTCTTCCTTGATGGGATCTTTATAATAGCATACTTCGGGATGCAGTGTTACTTGTGTTGCATTCCAGTATGCCGACTGCACCTCGTCAACTGATTGACAAGAGTATTTCTCTGCAAAATCCATCTGGACGATAATATTGTCTTTGGGTAAATTGGACTTCAGCTCTTTTACCTGGCTAGACTGGATTTTGATGGGGTTGGCGTGTTGTCAGAATTCTTCCTTCTCTGCCTTGAAGATCTTGATAAACTCAGACTTCGTAACTTCGTAAATTCCACGATCTTCATTTTCTTCTTTCTGTCGGCTACTTCCACGCGCTTCCACTGGTTGTATTTTACTTGAGCTGTTCAATTAGCAAGAAGGCCATTGATTGAATCCTGTTCCGTATGCCTCATGAAAGCATCTGGACTGCTCTGTACCTTGATACCCATCGCCATAAGACAGCGAAGTTTCAGGGCCAGATTTTGGTGGCGTATACAGAGGCATGTGTTACGAGAAGAAAACGAGGATGTGAGAATATAGTTAGGACAAAGTTTACAGAAAAGAGATAAAGAGATCTTCAAATCTGGATTTTTGGATTTGAATTTCTCATAAACGTTTCCAAGGTAATGGATCTGGATCTTTTCCCCTTCATGCTTTTTAAAATCAGCTTTCCTTGGCATCATACGGGAGTTGTCATCTCTTGAGAGGAAGCTGACGACTTTTTCTTTAGCTGCTTTCGCATGAAATTAGATTTGGTCATGGCCATCTTGGATTTAAGTTGGAGGGATCTCTTTGAAAGTCCAGATGCCTTTTTAAGATGGTTTAGAAGTCGACAACGTTTTAATATTTTGGACCCGACTAATATCGCTGGGGCAACCTTTCTTTTCTTTCTATCTTTAGAAGTGGAATTCTTGACGTCACCTATCAGGGCATTGACAAAGACTAATTTCTTCCTCAGCTGTCTGAGTCTCGTAACTCTCTCGTTCAAAGGCCTGAGTCTTGTTACTCTTTTCTTGTGCGGATTCTTGGAGTAACGCCAGATTGCACTTCGGGCGGTGTCGATCATTTAGGGTTTTTTGCAACTGATTGTTGAAACTTCTTTTGTAATCTCCAAAGTTTTTATGGAGTTTGCTGTTGCTCTCCAAACTTTTATTTGGTCGGTAAGCTTTTGCCAGTGCTTTGCTCACTCTTTCGAGTGCTTTTGTTGGGCTACCTTTTCTCTTATTGCTGAAATCTAGCTTAATTATTAGTGGACCTGAAGATGCAGTGCTGTTCTGTCGTTCCGTTTGGAGTGATTCTTTTTCACTTTTCTTGCTCTCGGCAGCTTGTCTTTTCTTCTTTTCGCGATGTTTTCGTACGCAGGGATTTTGTTCTACTCTCTTTTTTATCAGAGTTTTTCGTCTAATTCCCTCTTTCTCCAGATATTCCTCCCCTTTCTTCATGTTTTGTCTTTCTCGGTACACCTTTTGAATTTCGACACGATTCTTTGGCATCTGTAAACTGTCCAAATTGTCAAATCGTCATTTTTTGCATTGTTCAACATTATATTCATTCTGATTAACTTTTAAGATATTTGAAAGTGTCTCTGTTTCTTTATTTTACATTTAGTAATTAAAACTATAATTTGGAGCAAAATTAAAGCTTTAATATCATTAAATACTTAATTAAAGTACATTTAAATAAAAAAAAGCACAAAGCGTGACCTCCGGTTTTGTAACTTCCGTTACATTAAAAGGATGGTCAAAATAGCTATAAAACGACCTTGACAAACACTCGCAACTCCGATATTGTAAGAATTGTTGCATTTTTGAAGGTTTTCACAATCATGGTTAAAAAGTCTATCTGAGCTACGGCTTTACTTGATCTTTCAATTGTTGATGTTGCTGCTAGGGATTCCCCCCTATGGAGTTCACTTGTTATATGATTGTCTACTATATTAATTAGTAAATTAGATAATGAAGTTAGTTAAATTTTCCAAACCTTGAACAACAAAACCATTAATGTATGCTAAAGACTTATACCCAAAATCTCAATCTGCCTACCGTGTAAACGCTTTACGATAGTTTTGCCTACTTAAGTTCGCCTACGTATAAGTTTTGCCTACTGAAGTTCGCCTACGCATCAAATGCATTGTAAAGCCTATCTATGAAGGGTGAGACAATATATATACTCATGATAATTTGTCTTATCAACCATAGATTTAATGTTCCGAGCTTTTGGCCTACTCGGCCATCCTTAGGGAAATGAAAAACGTTACATAACGTTTATGTAACATTTTTCATTTCCCTGAGGATGGCCGAGTAGGCCGAAAGCTCGGAACATTAAATCTATGGTTGATAAGACAAATTATCGTGAATGTAACAACAACCAACAAGGAACTATTTGATTTACTATATGTACTGTAAAAAACGAAAAAATAGTTCTCGTGTAAAGAACTTTTATGCGAATAGCAAGGCAAACAAAGTAAGAGAAACACTGAAAACTTTAGACACGAAAGAGTAACTGGTAAGCATTGTGTGACAACATCGTAAACCAAGAAAAGTCGTGCAACCCATCTTAAACAAGTGTGACACAGTAAATAGATAAAAAGTTCAAACAAAGCGACTGCTGTTGAGTAAAGTAAGAGAAAACGTTACGAATGAGTCAAGAACTACCAAGATGTGAACACGTTGTTGTGTGGCAAAAGCGTATCGCCTTGTCAAATTGAAAGCGGTAAACTATCACATTTCATAAAAAATATTTGCTTACTTATCAATATCTTTATTTTAAAAACATCTTTTATCTCTAAGAACTTTTTTATAAGCATGGTGATTAAAGAAAGAGAAACGCTACGAATGAGTCAAGAAATTCTGAGACTCAAACGAGCTGTTTTGTGACAACAAAAGCGTAACGACTTGACAAGTGAAAGCGGTCGACTAAGAAAATGTATTCTCTAATATTATAAACAATAAACACATAAAATTTGCCAAAAATAGAAAGTTTATTTTCAATATTTTGTTCTTTCGATTGCTCCATTTCATTGATACGACAAGACTATATAGTTTATTTCTATTGCTCTACTCTATTGGTTCCTTGAAGGTCTATTGAGGGTGGAACAGGCTCTTAAAATTTATGCGGCTGATTTCTCGCTGCTCTAGTACTTCTCCCATATGTCAAAAATGCTTTGGGGAAGGCTTTGCATGGACTGTCGGTTAATTAATAGAACCTAGAGAAAAAAGAAAGAAAGAAAAAAAGAAAGGGAAAATGAGCAATATGCTTAATTGGAGACTGATATAAGTTAAGCAAAGTTATACCTCTTCCACGATTGCTTTAGCAGATCTGAACGTTTCTTGGATTGCCTTTTCCTTCACCTCTTTGACGATCTTAGTTGCCAGCAAGGCTCCTGCTTAAGTCGGGTGGTTATGGATGGCAAGGTCCTGGGTGAAAACACCATCTTTCTCGATGACAATTGCCTTGCACTGACTACCTTTCGGGCGTACCGTTCACTGTCAATACGTTGCATACGTTCTTTTGGATCTTACATTATATGTAAATCTTATATGTAAAGCTGTCCACCAGCCTCCGACCACTTCTTTTACTGCCTGATTCGACTACTTCGTATGTGGTGCGTACGGCTGGTTCGTCATTAAGGCTCTCAAGCAGAGGATTGGTCTCATCGATAGACAACTTGCCAATGTCATTCACAAGTTGATTTTCTTGAGCTGGGGTATCTGAAAAGAGACATGACAATAATGATTTATCTACCATGCTTACCATTGAAATCAGTTGTGCAGGTTTCATGTTGCCAACTGCAAGCACCATGAGACCAACCAAGAAACCATGCACCTTCTTTTTCGGAAACAGGTAAGTCACATGCAATACACCTTTCAGTTGCCATTATAGAAAAATCACTTGAACTCGCTTAGCTGTTAACTCGCTTTGTCATATTAATCATAAAGTGATGTGCCTGTACCTATGCTTTTATACTACATGGTGGGATCAAAACTTAATTTCTTTTTTAACGAATGTAATTGGCGGGTTTCGTTTCTATTCACTTCGTGCTTGATAAACTTTGATTAAAGGGACAAAAAAATAACAGCCGCAAAATTTCTTTCCTCTCAATATCCCATTGTAATAACAACAACAGTTTCTGATCGGTTAGCTTTGTGACGCCATTGAAATGTGTGCAATAAAAAAAAAAAAACGATTTTTTTTGCTTATAACTTTTCCTTCAGTTTTGAACTATGTTGTCTGAAAAAAAAATCTTAACGATAAAAGTTATGTTTTTAATAATGATTTTGGTTTAGATGAGCTTAAAATTTACCGCTTTAACTTGACAAGTCGTTACGCTTTTGTTGTCACAAAACAATCTCGAAAACAAGATTGCAAAAATAAATGCCTTGTTTCAATTATTATCAGCAAAAATGTTTTTGAAACATCATTTTGCTTTAAAATTATGGGTGTCATCACTAAACCAATAGGATGTCAAGGCGTTTTAAAAAGATGTGATATATCTGATAATAACTGCGTGACAAACAGAATCCCCTCATGTGACAACGATTAAATTAAAAGAACAAACCTTATATGAAGGAATGGCAGAGGGTCTATTTCATCTCCTAAGACTGCGAAGGGTGATTCAGTTTCAGAAAGTCTCTGTGCAGCATCATTTTCCAAACAAACGTGGATGTTAGAGCTTAAGACCCATGTTGGAGGATCACTTTTACTTTGTAAACCAATGCACTGCAAATGTCAGAAATTAAAGGATTTATTTTTTTGGATGTTACCTGTAAATATAACAGCTCCAGATTGCTAGAAATACTTCTTCCTTTTAATAAGTGAGATTACAGGAGCCTGCTTGCACAAAGTTCTGATAATCTTGATTCAAAAAAATGTTACAAACTTTATTCAACATTCCCCAAATGTAACTTGCTGTGATTAAAATTTCAATTTGGTACATTCAATTTGATACATCAACCTTATCAAGTTAGTAAAAATATAGGCTTGGTGAAAAAAGGAGACGAAGGAAAATTCATAAAGCAGTTCAAAAACTTGTACACTACTCTAAATGAAAAAGGAGAGGTCGTTTGTTGGAGACTAACAAAAACGTCTTTTGAAGAAGTCCGAGATTTGGTTCAAGAATTAAAAAATTAGAGTGGAAGACAGAGCCAGAAAGCTATTAGAAATGATTTGCGTGGATGACTGTTGCAATGTCAGGAACAATTACCAATCAGCATTTTAATGGCATATCTGTGAAATTGGACCTTTTCCWTGACGTCCAAAGAATTACAAGTAGGGTTAACAACGCAGATATATCAATGCGAAGAAAATTCCAAACGGAAAAGGATACTCCAAGCAGAAATAAAATCTTTGAAAATTTGAATCTTTTTATAGGGCGTTGGGAAGATGTCCCTTTTCCCCCACTTCATTTACTAGGAGGAACTATGACAGAAATAGAAAAGATAAAAAGACATATAGAAAAGGAATGTCTTGAAGGAATACCGCCTAGCTTTGGAACGGAGCGGAACAAACAACACCATAGTTTGTTAAATCTTTCGCTAATAACGGGATCGACAACAATTAGTATCGAAGTTGCTGCAGCTATTTTAACAATGCTATTTTATTTTCACAATTGTAAAATCTTGTCGGAAGGTCACAGTTGCTATTCCAAGGTGTCATGCATTACGTAGATTGAAGCATATTTTACAGAAGAGGAACCCTGCAGTAATTCAGAAAACTACAGGTCATTTTATACCAACAACTGTGATAAAGGAGATGAAAAAGGCGAAAACGCTGTGAAATTGAGTGACGCTGACATGGTTGAAGACGAATGCCTATCTGATATTTGCAACGAATCAATTGCCTGCGGCTCAATCTTAAGCGCGTCACTCAACTTTTGGGAAATTCTCCAAAGAATAGAACACAAAAACAGGAACAGAACATTCAAAGCATCTGAAATTATCCAGTTGAATATTATATCGCAATTGCTAACCGTTCATAACGCCAGTTATGCTCCAAAAAAAAAAAAAAAAAAAAGGAAAGTGGAAAGTGCAAGTCACCTGCAACTGTTGTTATCAAAGTCTTTATCAGAATCATCACTTGAAAGAACTTACCTTTTCTTGTTTGGTTGCCTTGGTATTGCATATAGTTTTCTGCGTCCACATTTCTAAAATGAGCTGCCTTATGAGATACTCAACTTAACTCAACTTTTTATTTAGTGCCATAATTTACAATAATACATAAAGTTAAAGACACTTACGTAGTTAAAAGCACAAGCTAATTGCGACAGATAAACTGATTGAAGCAATTAGCTGAAAATTTGAAAATTCACATTTTTTGAGTCAGGCACTGAAAAGGTAGTAGTAAAATACTAAAAGAGGAGGGGGAGAAAAAGGGGGAAAAACAAAAGATAAGATTAAGAGAGCTCATAAATAGAATGCAAGTAAAAGAATCATACTAGCGTATCTTGTTTATAAGAGAAAATTATCTCATTAAAAAGTTTTTTCTTGACATTTTT